TCACTCTTGTCGCCCAGACTGGAGTGCAGTGGCCGCTCCCGGCCACCGCAGCTTCGACCTGCTGGGCTCCGGCGATCCGTCCGCCTCAGCCTTCCGAGTAGCCGGAATTACAGGCACGCGCTACCACGCCCGGCTGATTTTTTGATTTATTGTAGAGATGAGGTCTCGCTGCCCAGGCGGGTCTCAAACCCGCAGGCTCAGGCAATCCACTCACCTCAGCCTCCCAAAGGCGCGGGATTACAGGCTGAGCCACCGAGCCCGGCTGATAAAGCAGATTTTTAGGAAACTCTATAAGAGTTTTCCTGGACTCTGAAATTACACAGACCAAAACTTGTGTCCCAGCAACTCTTTTGGGGAGATGTATTACCTCTCAAGGTGAGTTGGGAGACATCTGTTTCACTGTGAGGATTAGATGAGAAAGGGATATAAAAGATCTAACTATGGTGCTCTAAGGAATGTGTGTGGTCCTTTGCTTGAATGGAGTTCGAAGAAATTGCAAAGTTACATAGGCCACATTGTGGGATGTGGTGATATCTTAGAGCAGTGGCTTTCAGACCTTTAGTGTACAGAGAGTCATGGCAACTTTTAAAATTCTTGTTCCATTCCCAGAGACCTTGATTCCACAAATCAAGACTGGAACACAGAAGTCTGCATTTTTTTTTTTTTTGAGTTGGAGTCTCACTCTGTCACCCAGACTGGAGTGCAGTGGCATGCTCACAGCCACCACAGCCTCGCCCTGCTGGGGTCCAGCGATCCTTCTGCCTCAGCCTTCCAAATAGCTGGAACTACAGGCGCGCACTACCATGCCTGGCTCATTTTGATTTATTGTAGAGATGAGGTCTCGCCAAGTTGCCTAGGTGGGTCTCGAACCCGCGGGCTCAGGCAATCCACTTACCTCAGCCTCCCAAAGGTGCGGGATTACAGGCTGAGCCACTGAGCCCGGCTCAGAAGTCTGCATTTTTAACAAGCACTACAGATGATTCTGATGAAAGTAGGATCACACTTTAGAGGATATGGGTAGGCCAAATCACAAGACTTGTGGGGATTTAAAGAAATTCAGCCATTTGCCCCTGAAAGTTAAATAACCCTATAGGTTAGTTTTCTTAACTTATCTTTTAACAGCAGTCCTTGGGGTTCTAAGTATTAACCACAAAATTCTACTTGAAAAAAATCATTCAAGAATAGCCATATCTGATTAGATAAATGTGTATTAATTTGTAGAACTATGTACACTTATTATAAGTACCTTAGCAAAAGTGAGCTTAATGTTTGAAGTAAATAAAAACCGAAGAAGGACCTCCATTAAATAGAACACATCAACCTTTAAAGCCAGTAAACTTTGGGTGTTTCTTTACCAAAAGAAATAAGTATTTTGAAACCACAACCTAGCACACAAAAAACATTTTGCTCCATCTCTCCTGTAATTCAATATGGATGTCATTAATGAGAGTGCTCTGGCTAATCTTAATTGTCATGATGGTATGAGAAAATGTGATATATAAGGCATTCAGAACACGAGTATATTATTAAGAATCATTGTTAAGTAAGAGGATGAAGTGAAACTGGAATGAAATAAGTCAGACGTTCAGTCTCGGTATTTCCTGTTGTTATGCTAGGATATTTTATTCTTTATGTTAAGAATACAACATACTTAATTTTTCCTCTGATACTTATACGAGATAATTTATATATGCATATATATCCACATGCAGGCACAGACACATATATAGAGCCATACTTGATGACCACAAAGGAAGAGGCCCCAAGGGCTCTTTAGTGTGCAATTAATATTTTGGTCAGAAAATCAGCAGATTGTTTCAGTATGGTTATGTGTTATGACATCATATTCCAGTAAAGTTATAATGAACAGAAATTTTGTTTGTCTCTGTGGCAAACCAAAATGAGTTTTGTAATTGTCAGCAGGCCTTAGTGATTATAGTGGCGCCCACTCCCTCTACCGTAGTTAAAGGTCTGTTAGCATTCCAGTTGTGGACCTCTGTTTTTCAGAAGTTTATAATTAGTTGTAAACATTTGGTCTCTGGTGAAAGTTTGTCACATACGATCTCAGTGCAGGAGTAAATTTCTGATTTCAAGTTGTCTTTTTAAAAGTTTTATAGCAGAACCACTTAAACATATGCATACAAGTTCTGTAGAGGTGGGAAAACTGAGTTTTGTAGGATACAAAGTGAAAATAATGTGCATTATTCATATTAATCTTTCATAATTTCCGTGTTAAAGGGTTTCAAAATACAATAAGTGATAGTAAAATGTGTGCTTCAGTACACTGTTTACTATAATCAGAGAGCAAAAAAGAATGTGGTTTTTACTGCTTTTTAGTCTTTGCATGTTAAAAATAGTCTTTTATTATAAATGATATTTTTCTGTAACTTTTTTATACTTGCTAATTAAAAAATGAGAACATATGTGTTCTTAAATAATAAGAACACATTTTAAAAACTTTATCTTAAAACAAATTAATAGAAAACTTAGGCTAAGAAAATTGATTTTGGGTTAAGAGTTTAAAATAGCAACTTTTTCTTTTTTTCATACTCTGGATTTCTCCACTCCATTTGACACTGTTGATTATTTCTGTCCCTGATATTGTGTTGTAATTTCTCATCTCTGACCCTCTTTCATCTTCCTGTCTGTCGTCTATTGTTTTCCTTGCTCTTTGATCATAGGCATCAATCAAATCCTAGCCTTAGGCTCTTTTTTGCTTCCTTTACACTTACCCTTTCCAGGTGTTTATCCTCTCGCATGGTTTCAATTATTGTTTTGCAAATCTGCCTCTTCATACCGATCAACATTTCTAGTCCTTCACCTTTAGTAAACCTTCACTGCTCAGTCCCATCTGCCCTGTGAATGCTTACATGATGGGCTCTGTCCAATTTATCTAATGCTGAGTATATAACATCACTACTTGGATGTTCAGTAATCATCTAAAACATCGTAGGACTCCAGTTGGACTGTTTTTTGCTCAGAAACAAACATTTCCCAGCATTGGAGTGCTTTCTTTTTAACTCAGGTTTTTAGCATTATAATTGTAAATCCTTCATCCCATCAAAATCAATCCTATTTGTTTTGCTAAATTGCTCAATTCATTGGTCATATTTCTCAGTCATCATTTTACTTGACCTGTGAGTAGCATTAAGTACAATCAGTACCTTCCTTCTCCTTGATTTACTTGTTTCCCTTTTGACTGTCAGGAAGGACATCATGCTAGCCTGGTTTTCTTCCTATCATTCCTTCCTGCAGAACTTTCATGATTTTATGGCTTTAAATGCCACCTGTATAGTGAGGATTTCCAACTTTATCTTGGACCTCTTTCCTGGAGTCTAGATTCATAAATCTGTCCACTTGATGTCTCCAATTGAATGTCTAATAGGTCTAATAATTTAGCATATCCAAAACAGAGCTGCTAATATCCATGAGCAAACCCATTTCTCTTGCAGTCTTCACTGTCTCAATATGTGGGTACTCCATCTTGGTTGGTTTCAAAACCCTGGGGTCATCCTTGATTCCCCTCTCATATTACATAACCATTCCTTGAATAAACTCATCATTTCTACTTTAAAACTTCATCCAGAACACAGCATCTTCTCATCATTTCTACCTCTGCACTCTAGTTCAGGCCACTGTCACCTTTCCCCTGGATTATCACAGTAATATCCTATTAGATCCCCCTGCTTCCACTGTCATTCCCCTACAGTCTGGCCTCAACATAGTAGTCAGATTGTCCTTCCAAGATGTAAACCATATCTTGTCACTTCTCTGCTCTAAACCTTCTAGTGTCTGGTCATTTTACTCAGGGTGAAAGTCAGATTCTTACAACCATGTCTAGGGAATGCCCTGTGGAATCCAGCTACTTCTTAGTTCTCTCTTCTAGTTTTCCTTTCCTCACTTAGCTTCCCTCACTCCACTCTAACCAGATGGGCCTCTTCTGAGTTACTTGAACATGCCTGGCATGCTCTTGCCTCATGGCCTCTGTGCTTGGTGTTCTCTTTGCCTGAAGTGCTTGGTCTCAAACGTCTGCAAAGTTTCACCCCTCATTTATTTCAGGTCTTTACACAAATGTTATCTTTTCAGTGAAACCTTCCTTGACCACCCTATCTAAAACATACCTCGGTGACATTTTGAAACCCTTCCCTCTTTAGTTTTCCTTACATCTGTCTCCAACATACTAGGTATTCTATATATCTATCTTATTTATTGTCTGCCTTCTCTACAATAATGTGTGTTTTTGTTCCCTTATTCCCTTGTCATATAGAAGGCAGTGCATAAATAACTGTGGAATTAATGAATTTTATTACGTACCTTATGGATTTTTTCTTAAAATTTTTTTGGGTTTGTTCTTCTTACAGACTCTTTTATCCCCTCCTATCTGCATTATTGCAGCTTTCTAGTCACGTGTCATTACCTCAGTCTCATTAAACACAAACCTACTAAAATTTTTCATCTAAAAATACATTAATATGACACTTCCTGCTTAAGAATTATCTTAAACTCCTTATTCTTTCTTATATTGAATCCAATCTCCTTATTACTTTGCATTGTGCTAAGGCCATCTCTCTGCCCTCATATTTCTAATCATAATTATCCTCTGTTAAAAGCACAGTAATCTGCTATGCTGTCACCTACATGAGCTTGTCTCCAGCCTCTGTAGTAGCTCCTCTATCCTCAGCACTGGACCATTGGCTCACTTTATGTCAAAATCTGACTGAAAGCTTCTCATCAAGAAGTCTCCTGTGATATAATTAAATGACTATCACAGTTTATGATAGTGTTGCATTCTGTATGTGTTTTCTATGGAGATCAGTGTACACTATTATCTCATATTTTGTCTTTTATAAGTACATTTGTAAGGTTAAAATTTTTCTAGGATTAGTAAGAGGGTACAATCCATTATATACTTCGTATCATTTTAAACAAAGTAAGTCCTATTAATGACTGTAGAGGGGTTTTATTGAACTAACATTAATGTTTTTATTGTCACATTTTAGGTATCATTGTCCAATGCCTAAGATCTTTTATGTTCAGCTGACTGTAGGAAATAATGAATTTTTTGGGGAAGGAAAGACTCGACAAGCTGCTAGACACAATGCTGCAATGAAAGCCCTGCAAGCACTGCAGAATGAACCTATTCCAGAAAAATCATCGCAGGTGTGGTATTACTGCATGTGGTATTCTCTTTCTTACACTTTTCTAGTGAGATTATTGAGAAGATAAATCAGTACATTGTATAATTAAAAGAAATAATCTGTTCTGATAGGAAAGAATACTAGAGTGATGATCTGCTAAGATTTGCTACTCAGACTATCTGTCTACTATGCTAGACTTCTGTGTCCTGCCAGGATGACCTTGCCTTTGAGAACTTTGGTTCCTCGCTGGAGTTCACTTTCCAGGCAACTCAGAATTTTGGGATGTGTGCAAAGATGAGAAATAATATTCATTTGCCTTATGTTTAATGCCATGCTAATTGAGCACAGACTATATTGTGTAAATCTAGAATCAAGAATTTAAAGTATAGGGAATCTTTGTGGACTTTTCAGTCCTACATTAATTTACAAATGAGGGTATTGGGATTGTTTTTTTTTATTATATTTTATTTTTTAAGTGAGAAAGCAGGATTTATTAAGAGGAAAGAAAAAACTCCACAGTGGGAGGGAACGTGAGGGGGTTGCCCGAGGCTGTTTTTGAGTAATCTCATTCTCATGGCTTCAGCTATTTTTTCCCATTGATTTCAAAATAGTATCTCTAGCTTAGGCATGTCCTATAGTATAGTCAGCTTCTTATTGGACTTTTCCCACTTAGTTATTTCAAACCCTGTAGTTACATCTCTACAATTCTCTTTTCCTCAAACCTGTTGTTCTTCCTCCTTTGAGATTTAGCTTAATGGCAGACTTAGGAAATGTTTCTTTCATTATATCTCTTATCTATTTCGTTATCTGTTTCGTTTTCTGTTAGATTATAAACTTATCAGTCTCCTTATCTCTAATAGTTAGACTACATTTAGCATATATGAGACCCTTCAGAAATATGTGTTAGATAAGTGAATAAAGTGAACTGGGGCCAGTGCCAGTACCAGACACACTGCTTCATATACTCGTTGCATCATGTACTCTTTCTGTAGCTTAGTCTTCATAGATCATGTTAGAATATCAGTGGGGGTTGTTGGGTGTGGGAGTGGAGTGAGTAGAGATCTCTAAAACAAGAGACCTATGTGGGGATATAGGATAAACTCAAATTAGTGTATAGTTGAGTAAAAAACTTTCAAACCCAGTGTTAAATGCTTCTACTTCAAGGAAAAAACCTAAAGACCAAACAGCAAAAAACCTGGCAGGAAAACCGTCACCTAATGTTGTTAATAGGAATCTACTAGATATAGCCTATGGTTTGTTGTTATTTAAATTATATTTTGGATAGGCCCTCTTGACCGTAGGATATATGTAAAGTTTGTTTTAAACTTAACATCTAATGTTATCCTATTTTTTGTGATTTAGAATGGTGAATCAGGAAAAGAGATGGATGATGACAAAGATGCAAATAAATCTGAGATCAGCTTAGTGTTTGAAATTGCTCTGAAGCGAAATATGCCTGTCAGTTTTGAGGTATGTATGTGATCAGTAGGGATCTTGAAATTTTTTTCTCCTGCTTTGGCTACTTTAAATAAACAAACAAATAAATAAAAGTAACTGGTATACTAGTATCTTACAAGAGTTTTTCTTTTTTTTTTGAGTTGGAGTCTCACTCTATCGCCCAGACTGGAGTGTAGTGGCCACTCCCGGCCACCGCAGCCTTGACCTGCTGGGCTCCAGCAATCCTTCCGCCTCAGCCTTCCAAGTAGCTGAACTACAGGCATGCGCTACCACACCCAGCTAGTTTTTTTATTTAATGTAGAGTTGAGGTCTCACCAAGTTTCCCAGGCGGGTCTCGAACCCGCAGGCTCAGGCAATCCACTCACCTCAGCCTCCCAAAGCGTGAGATTATAGGCTGAGCCACCGAGCCCGACTGTTACAAGAGTTAATGTGCTTCTTTGTGTTCACACCCACTATCATGAAGTGATACAGGTCTTGGGGAAAATAGAAATTGTGATGATATCATTCCTGTTGATTTCTCTGTCTTTTCTGAATTAAGGCATTTGTATGTATGATATTTCAATTTTCATCATGACAGAACTTTGTCTTTAAAGACACATATATGTTAATGTTCAGTTTCCTTTAATTGTATGGAGGCCAAAATTGTTTAACTTCAACCTTAACTAACAGAATCACTGAGAAGTAATGAAGCAACTTTTGACTTTACAACTAGATAAACATGCCACAAATATATTTATAAAATTATATGAAATTTAAAAGAGTAAACTTTAAAAAATAATTTTAATAATGCCTTCCTTATTAAGAGGTCACTAATTTTGCAACTCATACCTGGAAAACAGCAAGAACCAAGAAATAAACAGATCTGGAGAATCCTCCTTCATTTACCTACTAGAAAGCTCCCATATTCTACTCATTGGCAGTATTCTCTGACCTGGACTGAGAAACTGCTTTCTTCTTGGACACAATTCTGACAAGTTGGGTTATCCGATTTCTCAGCTTGTAACAGGTTAAAAGTATCACAATGAGGAAGGCAGGAAAAGAATGTACTTGAGGCCCTATTGGTCCCAGCAAGAAATGATAGGGAAAATATGGAAACCTATCAAAAGTAATTGCTTATCCACAAAAATTGTTGGAAATTATGGAATCTTTTAAAGGCTACAATGAAAATGAACAGACAATTACCTTAAAGTCTTAAGGGTCATCAGTATATAGGGCAGATATCTGATATTCATAATGATGATCTAATGTGAATAATAAAATTTAAATATTTAGTATTATCAAGTCAGTAAAATACTTTTTTTCCAAATTGAGAAGAATATCCATTAAAGTGATTAAAATAAACAGTTTTGGTGTTTAACTAGTAAACTTAAATTACTTAGAAAGTATGCTTATAATAAATTCTTTATCCCAATAATGTTGGATTAGAGAAATACTGTGTTTTCATTTCTTTTCCTAATTGGTACCCAATATTAGAAGACAAAATTTCAATGTAATGTTTTTTTGTTTGTTTCTTTTTATTAATCAATATTTTTTATTTGCTATTGTGGGGTATAGTTAAGGGTTAGGTATACAAATATGTTTCGTTCAGGCACCCTTGTTGATAAGGGGTGTCTCCCCGTCCCCAGACAGATATTGACTACCATTAATCCCACCTCCCTTCCCCTCCCTCCACTGCATAGTTTCCCACCACAGTCAATCCTTTTCATATAGTATTACGATAGATGTTCAAGGCCCACTATATGAATGAGAACATGTGAGACTCAGATCTTTGTTTCTGTGAGAGGTCACTCAGTGTTATAGACTGTAGTTCCATCCAGGTTGCTGAGAAATTCATGATTTTGTTCTTTTTTATGACTGCGTAGTATTCCATCGTGTATATGTACCACATTTTTTAATCCAGTCCTCTTTTGATGGACAGCATGGTTGATTCCAGGTTCTTGCTATTGTGAACAATGCTGTGATAAACATACGTGTGCAGGTATCTTTTTTATAGAGTGATTTGAGTTCTTTGGGGTATATTCCCAGTAGGGGGATTGTGGGGTCATATGGGAGGTCAATATTTAGAGCTTTTAGGAATCGCCACACTGTTTTCCACAGAGATTGCACTAGTTTGCACTCCTACCAACAGTGTATGTGTTCTCTTTTCACCACACCCTCTCCAACAACTGTTATTTAGACCCCTATCTATTCCCATACACAAAAATTAACTCTAAATGAATCAGAGACCTAAATGTAAAACCTCAAAACATAAGAACCTTAGAAAATGCAGGACACATCCTTATGGAAATTGGAACTGGCATCCAATTCCTGAACAAAACCCGAAACCTACAGGCCATAAGAGATAAGATAGACAAGTGGGACCTCATTAAATTAACAAGCTTCTGCAAAGCCAAAGAAACCATCAAAAGAGCAGGGAGACAGCCCACAGACTGGGAAAAAGTATTTGCCAACTCCAGGTCCAACAAAGGCTTAACATCTTGGATCTACAAGGAACTCAAACGTGCTGAAAAGAAAAAACCAAACAACCCCATTATAAAGTGGGCAAAAGACATGAACAGACACTTCTCAGAGGAAGACATCTGAGCAGCCAACAGACGCATGAAGAAATGTTCAACCTCACTAATCATCAGGGAGATGCAAATCAAAACCACACTGAGATACCACCTAACTCCAGTCAGAATGGCAATTATCAATGTAATGTTAAATAGTAAAGTAAGTAGGGTGTCTCTTATAGGTCAGAATTTTGAGGGAAACTAGAGTTTTGAGTACTCAGGTTTTGGAAGGTATTTTTTCTCCAAAAGCTGTTGTTGTTCAAAAATGAGATCAGATTAAGCAAGGTTTAGGAACATTGCATTCATAGTTGACAGATTTATAATTCGTTACTCTAGAAAGCTAGGTATTTTTATGGCATAACTACTTACCTTTTTAGGATCATATCATAAGAATAAATACTCTGACTGGCCTTGATGACTCAACCTGTAATCCCAGCACCCTGGGAGGCTGAGGTGAGAGGATTGCCTGAACCCACAGGTTCGAAACTCACCCGGGGAACTTGGTGAGACCTGTCTCTACAATAAATAAAAAATAACCGGGCGTGGTAGCACATGCCTGTAGTTCCAGCTACTTGAAAGGCTGAGGAGGAAGGATTGCTGAAGCCCGGCAGGGCGAGGCTGTAGTGGCTGGGAGTGTGCCACTGCCCTCCAGCCTGGGTGACAGAGTGAGAGAGACTCCAACTCAGTTAAAAAAAAAAAAAAAGAATAAATATCTCTTTCTGTAAAACAAAGTTTTGAAGTCTCTGTCAAATTCAGGTTTTTTTTTCATCATCAGCTGTTTCAGAGACTCCCTCAAGCAGGATGCTTTATGTGTTATAAAACTACAATAAGACATAGACCTTGTTCTCTAGTAGCAAACTCTTACATAGGGGAAAATTAGATACATATGCGGTAACTTTACAAATTATCATTCTAAATGGCCAGTCTCATGTGGTATCTAAAGTAGTATGTTCCATAAGACACGGGGAGACCATAATTGTAATTAGACTTATCTGTTTTAAAGTAGCAAAAAAACAGTTTTGAATATGAAGTGAATGTGTTTGTTTAGTTTTTTCTTTCAGCTTCAGTTTTTTAAGCACCAAGTGTGGATAGTTTCGATAAAATACCTTCATAATAGCTTTCTTAGAAAACAACTATAATTTTGGCATAATATCAGTATCAATTAAGATATGAATATTAAGAATGTCATGCTATAAGAATACATCTTAAGTGCCTGTACATTACTTAATATTTTAATTGTATTTCATAGGTTATTAAAGAAAGTGGACCACCGCATATGAAAAGCTTTGTTACTAGGGTGTCAGTGGGAGAATTCTCTGCAGAAGGAGAGGGAAATAGCAAAAAGCTCTCCAAGAAGCGCGCTGCAACCACTGTCTTACAGGAGCTTAAAAAACTTCCACCTCTTCCTGTGGTGGAAAAGCCAAAACTATTTTTTAAAAAACGCCCTAAAACAATAGTAAAGGTAAGTGTATGTTTGTGAACATCAGTCAGTTTTTACTAAATAAGTATTATAGTAGTTATATATAAAAGTTTTTTTTTCATAAGGCAGGTCCCTGAACCTATGGGTTATATACAGTCCTGGAATCAGGGAAGGACATGTGATTATATATTAATGACAATCCTGTTTTGCTTTTTAAACACCTGTGTGCGCTTACATGTGTTCATCAGATAATAATACCTTACATATACCTTATATATTTATATTTTTCTATTATTTAAAAAGTGCTTTCCTATTCATGGCACCTTTAGTATAATCCTCATCATGACAGTTCAAGATAGATGACCTTATCTCTCATCTTACAAGTGTTTTGTAAAACATGTTAAATGAATTTGCTCATTTTTATTCAGCTATCATGTGGAACAACCTGAACTGCTCTGATCTCTAATCTAGTGTTCTAGCATGCAAGGCTGCTAGAACATCATGAAATGGTAACAGGATATAGAGTAATCATCATATGAATAATGCTAACAACATTGATAGCAACAGGAGCTAGAAAGTATAAAGCACTTTATGTACCAGTCTTTGTCCCAGCGCTTTGAGTGCTTTATCACGTTTAAGCCGCATAGCAGCCTTATGTGGTAGATGGTATTATTTTGTTTCCATTCTTTCAGGTGGGTATACCTTGCCAAAGAAAAATACAGAGCATACAACTTTTCAAGAGGTGACTATTTTATTGGAGCATATTTTATTTACATTAAAAAGAAAAAAGGCAGAGATCAGAGGAATGAGATGAGTCAGCATTTATTACGGGACAGTGCCCATGAATGCTTGAAATGTGTGTGACATGTCTGGAACTGAAGTCCTGTGTTTCTAGAGGAAGTCTTAAATTGCCAGCCCTTCAGTTGCTAGCTCAGCCTCACTTAGCAGTCTTCTGATTAGGCTATACAAATAAAGGATTACAGATATGAAATATATTTAATCTTTGAACCTTTTTTTTTATTGTGAAGCGGCATACAGTTTAGGTATTTTTGTAGGTTTTATACCTTTGTACCTTTTGTTTTATTTAAAACTACCTATTGCTAGGAGCGGGAGCTCATGGCTGTGATTCCAGCACTTTGTGAGGCTCAGGCAGGCGGATTGCTTGAACCCAGGAGTTCGAGACCAGCCTGGGCAGCATAGCAAAACCTTGTCTCTAACAAAAAATTTTTAAAAATTTCTAAGCATGGTGGAACATGCCTGTAGTCCCAACTACTCACTACTCAGGAGGCCGAGGGAGAAGGATTGCCTGAGTCCAGGAGGTCGAGGCTGCCATGAGCCATGATTGTTGTGATTATGCCACTGCACTCCAGCCTGGGAGACTGTGACACAAAAAATAGAAAAAAATGCACACAAACAGTTACATAAATACTTGTTTGTTTTTTTATGAGTACTGGTGTTACTTCACTTAAATGACATAGGTTATACATTCCCTGAAATAGTAATATGCATTATATGTCAGGTAGACTAAAAGTAAATGCCAAATAGATCCATTCATCATAAGTCATAGAGGTTCCAAAGAGGACTGACTATGATTCATATGCTCCTGCCTGACAGTCAGGGAGTAGGACATAGCTGTTAAGAGCATGATCTTTGAAGTCAGTCTTGAGTATGAATTCCTGTGACCTGAGCAAGTTACCTTATTTTTCTTATCTTACATTTCTTCATATATAAAGTGAGAATAATAATTGGACTTACCTCATAGGATTGTTAAAAGTATTAACTGAAACAATGCACAGAATGCACTAGTAATTATTAATAATAAAATGCAATACTATAAAAGTACTCAATATATTCTATTGCTATTTTGTACCTAATACTGTCTATTCACATTCTGTATGGATGTGAATATATCCATGAACTGTTTCTTTAATATTTTAACATATAAAATCTATGTTTTCTATGATGGAAGAACAGTGTTTTTACGCAGAATTGCACAACACTGGTCACAATAACTTACATTTAATCTGTTAAACTAAATCGAATTTTTGTGTGCATGTTGAGGTCTCACTATGTCGCTCAGGCTGGAGTACAGTGCATGATCACTGCTCACTGCAGCCTCCATCTCCTGGGCTCAGGTGATCCTTCTGCCTCAGCTTCCTGAGTAGCTGGGACTACAGTCATGTGCTGCCATGCCCAGCTAATTTTTAAAAATCTAATCTTAATATATTAAGAAACAAAACTTTTAGGCTAGAAAAGATCTATACATTTCTACAGCAGGATATACATCTAACTCTTGTTTTAGCTATAGCTATTAAAAGCAAGTTATTGTTTAAATGTTATTCTCCAGAAGTGGGGGACAGAAAAAACATTTTGAATTCTCAAAATTATTTGCTACTGGTTACAGTATTTAAGTATGCTATTCTGGAACTTCCCTCCTATCAAATCATTCACATCTCAGCTTAAACTTCTTCAGAGAGGCCTTCTCTGATTCTCTCCTATTTCCAAACTAGGTTAGCTTCCTTCATTTTTCCTCAGATACAACATACTTGAGTTACGTATGCCATGTCTGTCTTATGTTAAAATAAAGCCTTTGAGATATAAGATTATTTTGTGAAAACAACAAGCATATAATGAGTTGGAATCTAGATAATCTGAAGTATGATCATACCTTATAATGTGCCAGTAAGTAGATCCACTTGGAATAGTATCTTGGTTTTCAACATTTTCCTCTCTTCCTTGTATGACTTATACATTTTTATATTCAATAGAGAAAATATCTGTGATAATTTGCCTTCATTTTATTTAAAGAAATAAAACTATCACATTGTCTCATTTGATCTTCTTGATCATATAGCAGTCTTTCCCTTTACAGACAAGGCCCTTTGTATTTAAGAAACTTACCTAGGCTGGACATGATGTAATACTAGCACTTTGGGAAGCTGAGGCCAGGAGGACTGCTTTAGTCCAGGAAGTCGATTCTGCAGTGAGCCATGGTGGTGCCACTGCATTCCAGCCTGGGTGATAGAGTGAGACTCTGAAATTTTTTTTTTAAAAAAAAGGCCATCCAAAAGAGGGGGGCGGAAATATAGGAGCTTACCCAAGATCCTTTAGCAGAATCAGGTTTCAGATTCAGTTGTCATGTCTGACTCCAGTGCCCATTTGAAACTGGTTAATTGTGAACTTTTGGACTTTAAGACTTATAGAGTTACCCTGTTAACATGTAAAACTTCCTTGATGATATCTTTGGGTTTACATCCTGTTTTTAATGTAGTTCTCTTTTATAAGATGAGGCCTCAAAGAATGCTTTCCAGTGTTGGAGATAACATGTTCTGGACACAGCTATTATAAGATTGTCCTTTCTAGTTTGTGGGATGATAATCTAAGACTTGGTGTCCAAGGAATAATGTAACTGTCAAGGGTGCTAGTAGTTCATTTTAATCAAAGAAGTAAACCAAGCCATTCCTAAGATTTTCAGAACTCTCATTATCTAAATTGGAAGTATGGATCTGGTTCTTTATCATTGGAATCTGTAGCCACAACAATTTATTTGGAACTTAAAGATATTCTTAGAGCAAAATTAAACAAGAATAAAGACAGCCTATCACTGGAAACACATTTATTTGAATGTCTTCACGAACTGGGTATACTGCTTCTAATGCCAAACTCAGAATTTCTCTGTCTTTTCTTTGAGATCTCAATCTTGGACTAATAAATCATTGCCTAAATTTTTCTTTTCTCATCAGTCCTTGTTCATTCCCTTAATAATTTATTTAATATTTATTTGGGAGGATATAGGTTGAAACCAGTATTTTATCAAAAGCTAAAAGTCTCCTTTGCTTTCTCTTCTCCCTTTGCCTTATCATTACTCCTTATCTAGGTCGCTCTTCTACTTCTAGGGGTTCAATTCCATCTTTAAGTAGATGACTCCCAACTACTCTTTTGTAGTCTACACTGCCTATTCTCTATCTTCACTTAATATTTCGCAGGCACCCAAACTTTGTGCCCAAAACTCATCATGTTCCCTTCAAAATCTCTTTATCTTCCAACATTCTTTTCTTCAGTGACTGGTACCACCAAACAGCTGCTGAAACAGAAAGTCAGGATTCATTTTTAACTTCTCTCTTACCCCTATGTCCAGATAATCAATCATTAAATCCTACTTATTCCATTGCCTAAATATTTCTTAAATTGGTTCCATTCTTTCCATCCCTTCTGCCATCTTTTGGTCCAACTCACAGTCATCTGTTGTCTAAGCTACTACAGTAAGGTTTTAACTAGCCTTCCTCCAAGGACCTTTGAAACCAAATGGTCTTTTAAAGAAAGTGTGTCTTTTAGAGACACCTGTGTGATCATGTCATGCCTCTGCTTAAAATCTCTTAGTAGTTTCCCATTACTCTTTGGATTAAGTCTGATATCCTAAACATAATTTAAGAGACTCTGAAGGCTCTGACTAGATGTTGTTAAGATTCTCAATGGTAGCAGTTACCAGGCATAGCTAGGTCTCTTTATACAGTGACTCTTTTTTTTTTTTGGGTTGGAGTCTCACTCTGTCGCCCAGACTGGAGTGCAGTGGCCGCTCCCGGCCACCGCAGCCTCGACCTGCTGGGCTCCGGCGATTCTTCCACCTCAGCCTTCCGAATAGCCGGAATTACAGGCATGCGCTACCACGCCTGACTGATTTTTGATTTATTGTAGAGATGAGGTCTCGCAGCCCAGGCGGGTCTCGAACCCGCGGGCTCAGGCAATCCACTCACCTCAGCCTCCCAAAGGCGTGGGATTACAGGCTGAGCCACCGAGCCCGGCTACAGTGACTCTTAAAGTTTAGTGTAACATGTGTCATCTGTAACACAGTGCTTATCCTTCTCTCTACTACCTGTTTAAGATAAACATTTTCACAGGTAGAAGTAAAGCTTTGACCTTATGATATATGCACATCTTATTTCTAGGGAAAATATCTGAAGAAGGTTCACATATTTGGTTTACAAGGATTTTTGTTTTTAAGTCATAATACATGCAAAAAACTATATATAAATTTGCATATATATAAACTATAAAAAACTATATATATAAACTATATATAAGTGAGAAAGCATATTGAATAAATGGAAGTAAACTCTACTGCCCAACTTGAGATAGAACGTTTCAGTAAGGTTGAAGCTCTCTGTGTGTTCCTCTTCGATCATATCCTCATGCTATCTTCTAAAGGCGCAGCCACTGTCATTAGTTTTGTGTTGTCATTTCCTACCTTAAGTTTTACTATGTTTGTTTTTCTAAAAAATGGTATTTGTTTACTTTTTGTAAGCAATATTATTGCGGTATAATTGACATGGTATACTGTACATATTTAAAGTACAGTGTTTGATATGTTTTGGTATAAGCTTATACTTGAAAAACCATGACCACGATCAAGATAATGAACCCATCCTTTGCTTCCAAAAGTTTCCTTACGCCCTTTTGTCATCCACCACCCTCAGTTTCCAAGAAACCAGTCTTTTTTAAGCTGACTTCTTTCACCCAGCATAAGTATTTTAAGACTCATCCATATTGTTGTATGTATGAATGGTTCGTTGTTTTATTGCTATGTAGTATTTATTTTTTTCTCTCCTTTTTTTTTTTTTTTTTTTGAGTTGGAGTCTTACTCTGTCGCCCAGACTGGAGTGCAGTGACCACTCCCGGCCACTGTAGCCTCGACCTGTTGGGCTCCAGTGATCCTTCCACCTCAGCCTTCCAAGTCTCATTTTTTTTTTTTTTTGATGATGTGTGCCCCCCTCCCTGGCAGAGTCTCACTACTGCAGATCCCCCTCCCCCGCAGTTTCCTGCTGCTAAATAGTATTTTATCATATTGATATGCCACTATTTGCTTATCCACTCACCTGTTGGAATGTTTCATTCACCTTTTGGGGTTTACCATTTGGGATGTTTCGAGTTTTTGACTGTCATGCATAAATTGACTATGAACATATTTGTGTATGTCTATTTTTATGAGCATTTGCTTTCATTTCTCTTGGTTGAATACTTCAAAGTAGAATGACTTGGTCATTTAGTAGGTTTATATTTAGCTTTTTAAGAAACTAGCAATTCTTGGTCAAAACAGTAGCGGCTGTGCCATTTTACCGTCTCATCAGTGGTGTGTGAGGATTTCAGTTGTTCCACATCCTAGCTAACACTTACCTTAATCAGTCCTTTAAATGTCAGATGTTCAGATACATGTGTTTTTGTGTCTTCTTATGGGTTTAATTGACATTTCTCCAGTAACTACTGATACTGAGAATTTTTAAATCTATTTAGTGACACCTGAGGCTTGATAAGTATTCAAATCTTTTGCCTGCTGAAAAAAATGTAGTTGCTCACTTAAAATAATAAGTGTATTACTGAATTTTTAGATATGTTGTTTGTAGATGTTTACTTCAAACCTGTAACTTTTCTTTTTCAAAGAGAAGTTATTGATTTTGAAGATTTATTATTTATTAATAATTATATTTATTATTTTAAATTTTTATTATTTCTATTTTTATGGAATGTATCTAAGAAATGGTTACTTAACCAAGTCACAAAAATTTCTCCTGTGTCTTCTTCTGGAAGACTTATAGTTTTAGAAATTATATTTAGATCTGTGAGGTATTTCAAATTAGTTACTTTTGTAAATGAATAATGAGGTTTAGATTGAATTTCTTTTTCCTTTTTTTGAATGTGAATAGCCAAATGTTCCATTACCATTGGTTGAAAAGACCACCCTTTCTCCACTGAATTGCTTTTGTACCTTTTTTGAAAATCACTTGACCATATATGTGTGTGGATATATTTCTGGACACTGTTCTGTTTCATTGATCTCTTTGTATTGGCTTTATACAATAGTTTTATAATCTTGAAATCAGATAGTCTGGGTCTTTATTCTTTTTTTCAAAGTTTTGGTTCTTTGCCCTTTGCATTCCCATATGAATTTTAGCATCAGCTTATCAATTATTTTTGTTTTGTTTTGTTTTGTTTTTGAGTTGGAGTCTCACTCCATCGCCCAGACTGGAGTGCAGTGGCACGCTCCTGGCCACCACATCCTCGACCCACTGAGCTCTGGCGATCGTTCCGCCTCAGCCTTCCAAGTAGCCAGAATTGCAGGTGCACGCTACCATGCCTGGCTAATTTTTGATTTATTGTAGAGATGAAGTCTTGCCAAGTTACCTGAGCAGGTCTCGAACCCGCGGGCTCAGGCAGTCCACTCACCTCGGCCTCCCAAAGTGCTGGGATTACAGGCTGAGCTACTGAGCCCGGCCTGGCTTTATCAATTATTAAGGAAAAATAAATCCTGCTGAGATCTTTATTGGGATTGCCGTGAATTGATAGTTTGAGGATAATTGACGTTTTAATGTTGAGTCTTCTGATCAAAGAATGTGATATGTCTCAAATTTATTTAGATCTTAATTTCAGCAGCTTTTTGTAGTTTTAGTGGACTTTGCATAAATTATATCATACTGTGTATATTATTCTGTGCTTGCCTTTTTTATTTACTGTTATCTTTCTGAAATTCATTCATCTTGATGCATGTAGCAATACTAATTCATTTTCACTGCTATATACCATTTCATTTTGTGAATCTGCCATAATTTATCTGTTCTTTTAAAGATGAATATTTATTTCCAGGCCTTTTTTTTCTCTATTTCAAATAATGCATCTTTGGATATTCCCATACATATGAGCTAGCACGCATGGGTAGTAGTTTTCTAGGGTATATATGTGCTATACATATACCATATATAATAGACTACTGGCGGATAGTATATACCACCTTATTAGACATTGCCAAGTGATTTTGCAATTTATGCAACTCTCAGTGTTGTGTAAGAATTTGGTTTAAGAAAAAAGAATTTTTGTTACTCCTCATTCTCACCAGTTGGGGCTGTCAGGCTTCTTAATTTTTTACTAAATTGTGGGTGTGAAATATTATCTCACTGATCATTTTCTGTGTCCAAATTATATTGATTATTATTTTTTCTTTGAAATATTTTTTTTATCTCCTTTTCCTATTTTTCTTTTAGATTCTCTTTTTCTTAATACCTTTTAGGAATTTTTTAAAAAGTATTTTTAAAATGCTGGGTATATCTTTTTTAAGCAAATGTCTCCTCCCAGTTCATGTCTTGTCTTCTCATGTTCAACATTTTGGTGTTTTTTGATGAACAAAAGTTGTAAAGCAACTTTGCTGTACTGCAGAGTTTGCTCAGTTTTGTTGCCTGAGCATATCAATAATGCTGTTGAGCTCCATGGAAACTTTAGTTACCGATTCATTTTATGGTTTTCTTTTATAAATCTTCATAAATAATTCTCATTTATCTTTTCCAGTCACAGTTTTGGGGTATGGGGTGGAGAGGGAAAACAACGGTTTCTTTAAGGCTCCAATAACAAGTTTTACATGCATATTTTGAAACTTTTTTTAAAATTAATTTTAGGCTGGACCAGAATATGGTCAAGGAATGAACCCCATTAGCCGCCTGGCTCAAATTCAACAGGCCAAAAAGGAAAAGGAACCGGATTATGTTTTGCTTTCAGAAAGAGGAATGCCTCGACGCCGAGAATTTGTGATGCAGGTATTTCTAACTTTTTGAAACTATTGAAGAGATATAGAAATCCTTAGGTTGAAATAGCTTTATGAGCAAAAGGCAAAATAGGACTTTATAGCAGAAAGTAAAACTGTATTTCTATTTAAATCATTTATTTCCCCCAGGCTTACTTACCAACTTAGTGGAAACATTCAAGTGTCAAGGACATGTTAGAATAGACAACGTTGAGTACTTGAAGGGACTGTGAGTTCACACAGGTTGTTTACCAAAGAGTTTATCATTTAAGGCCTATCTCTTAGCTTTTTGTGTTACATTTTGCAGCCGGAGTCTATTAACTACTGGGAATTGGAGTCAAATGGAATTGGAAACAAAATTTAGAAGGATGGATGTAGTAGATGGAACAGGTCCAACAGCATGAGCTTATAAGCTGTCAGGAAAATTAGAAAAAGAGAGTGAGCTGGCTAGCTCAACGTAGTGGGGGCTGAGGGATTCAGAATTGCTGAGAGATCTCACTGCTGCATTGTGCAGCCAAGAACATCGAAGAATGGTTGCTAGTGTATTTGCAGATAGGTGGGGACTAGGAATGAAGTAGAATGCCTAAATCATATTCACTACTTTTCCTCTTAAGATTCTTAGCTGGCCAGGGGTGGTGGCTCATGCCTATAATCCCAGCACTTTGAGAGGCCAAGGTGAGAGGATTGCCTGAGCCCACAGGTTCGAGACCAGTCTGGGCAACTTGGTGAGACCTCATCTCTATAATAAATCAAAAATTAACTAGGCATGGTGGCACATGCCTATAGTTCCAGCTACTTGGAAGACTGAGCAGAAGGATAGCCTGAGTCCAGCAGGTCAAGACTGTGGTGGCTGTGAGCGTGCCACTGCACTCCAGCCTGGGAGACAGAGTAATACTCCAACTCAAAAAAAAGATTATTAGCTTTGAAGAATTCTAGAATGTATTCTTTGAACTCCAAAGCTTGAAGAAAAAAGATCACCGAAATTTTAGACATATATTGAGAATATAAACTAGTTTTGGCTTTATTAAACAGTTTCTTTTCTGTGGAATATATTGAGTACCCCCTTTGAAAAAGGAATTTAGAGTATCTTAGGCCAGCTTCCATTTTATGGGTACTCATAAACGTTCTAGTCAAATAGGGACTTTTGGCTGTGCTTTTAAATGTTTTCACACTGAATTCATATTGTTTTTTCCCCCTTCTGAAAGTCCCAGTGGATTCATTACAATATTGCAGCAGCTTTATCAAAGTAAAGGTTTTTGTTTGAACTACTTAGGCAATGTTATCATTTGTTATAATTGAATGTGGAAGTAAAATATCTAGAGATAATATGCTCATTTTTATCTATCACCAAAGAAAGAGTAAGTTTGTATGTTATAAAATGGATGCAGTTACTTTGTGGCAGTAATTAGAAAACAAAAGAAAATCTCTGATGGCATTATTGGGAAGTTAGTTCTAAAGCAGATTTTTTAAAACTTGATTTTTGTGGGGAATATTTAAATTTTTTTTAACAGAAAATGATAACTAAATTACATATCAGCATGCTGTATTGTTATATATCATATAACTTTTTGACCTGTGATTAAGTTTACCAGGTTGTTAAAAATTGTAAATCATATTTCATCAATTTTATTTGTATCTCAGTGAAATATAATGAGTTAACTTTTTGTTAAATTCTGTTTTAAACTCTTGTTTTAGTTTTTTTGAGGACTTGATTCTGTGAATGATTTGTTTAATTTAAAGATAAAAATCTGGCAGTCTTCTATTTACTGCATAATTCAATAATTGAGCTTCTTTGAACATAGTAGTTAACATTTTAATGTAGAGATCTTATTTATAATAATTATAAAATTTGTGAGCTTTGAGGAAGATAAATGAAATTTATTTATATACTTGACTTTTATAATAAAGTGATGTTTTGTGTGACTATTGTGTTTATTAGCAGGAAATAAGAGTCCTTCAGCATTGTGGTCTTTTGAACAGATTACTAGAATAACTACTTACAAACTATTGAATCATGCACCTCTCAGGCAAGAGGTGGATGAATGGGAAAATGAATTTGGGCAGCATCTGATCTAGATGACGCAAGTCTTGAAGGCATCAGAATAGGTTAGATGGAAACCCAGCAGTCACACAGCCAAGGTAAATCCAGAGATGGGAATGGAGTTATAGCTGACAAGTCCAAGAGGAGGAGCCTGGAGTGAGAGGGTATCAAGCTTGAGTGGACAAATGAGATTTAGGGATGAAACGAGAAAAACTAAATGAGAGTGAGTTAGGTGTGTATAGCATGTAAAAACAGATAAAAAGTGTTTTGCAGTTATTTGCTGCTTGGAGATCTTTTGCTTCTATTTACTTTGGCGAGTCTTTTGACCCTCTGCAGTAAATGAAGTTTCTGAGGTAGCTGACTTAACGCTCTTCACTAACAGGGATTCCAGCAACAACCAAACCCTGGAAAAAAGAACAGGTAGCAGAGGTAACTATAGCCAGGGATTTTCTTTTTTCTTTTTTTGAGTCAGAGTCTCAGTCTGTTGCCCAGGCTGGAGTGCAGTGGCACACTCACGACCACCGCAGCCTCGACCTGATGGGCTCAGGCAATCCTTCCACCTCAGCCTTCCAAGTAACTGGAACTACAGGTGTGTGCCACTATGCCCAGTTGATTTTTTGATTTATTGTAGAGATGAGGTCTTGGCAAGTTGCCCAGGCTGGTCTTGAATGCATGGGCGCGGGCAGTTCTCTCATCTTGGCCTTCCAGAGATTTGAGCATGTTATTCATAGGCCTGCTGTTTTGAGGCAAGCACTGATATGGCATGTAGTGTGTATTCATCCATCTCCAATGTGCTGCCATGACTGTACTAGATAAGTGCTTCTCAGGGTAAGGTTTATACACTACTTCTGATTTGTTGCAATATGGTGGTTTCTGGTTTCAGAAAAAAAAAGCAAAACATTTCACAGATTTGAACAATATAATTTGTGGTAGTTGTTACAGAAATACTGTAACAATTATATTTTCAATTTTTTATATGCTCCAAGAACTTTGTCTTGATAAAATCCTTTTGAAAGAGTACAATTTCTTTTTCATGTCATTTGCATATATCCTCCAATTCCTTAAAAGTGGTTGGTTCATTGAAGCATATGTTTGATGGAAATAGTAAAACAAATAAAACTCTAAATAATGGTGTAAGGATAAATGGCAGACAGTACTCCAAGTGTGGATACCGAATGGGAATCTGTATTTTCTGGGACAGGTAAAACAGCCAATGTTATTTTATACAAGAGCCAAAAATGAACAGTATGACTAGAAGTATCTTGCTGTGTAGCCAAAAACTGAGTTCTGTTGTATCATATATCCATTCATTGTTAGTGTGTCTTAGTGCATTGTCATTGTGAGATTATACTAAAGTGTGACATGAAGCTATTGAAACTTTCTATTTTTTTTATTAAACAAAGCACAGTGACGTCTGGTAAAGCAATCCAACTTTTCAGATATGGATTGCCTGTTTAGCGTTCTTGCTCATTTTCTACTGGCTTTTAAAAACTTGGTTTATAGGAATTCACTATATTTTCACTGTATGTGAGCCCTTTGAAGTTATATGGAATTGCAAATAGCTTCCCTTGTATTATGAGTTTTATTCGTTACTTTTTTATAGTGCTTTTGAGAAACAGGAGTAATTTTTAATGCAGTCAAATTCATCTGTCTTTTTCTTTATATTAACTTTATGATAAGTCTATATATCCAGATGGATATGTCCCCCATAGCACTTGACATTTTAATGTAAATTTTGGAATCAACTTGTTCAAGTGTTGTAAAAATGTGTATGGGCTTTTTGATTGGAATTCCTTGAGCTTATAGGTCATTTTGAAGAGAACTGATATCATTATACTACTCTTGTCTTCAGAAACATGGCATATCGTTTTATGTATTAGATTTTTCTTAATGTTTCTCAATGCTTTTGTTTTCGGTGAAGCTTTGTACATTCTAGGTATTTGATTTTCATTTAATATGAATGGTATCTTTTAATATTTTTCATTTTAGGTTCTGAATATTGAAGGATAGAAATCCAGTTGTCTTTTATAAACTGACTTTTTATGCTCGAGCATGTTATGCTCTCATAAATTGTTACAATTCTTATAATTCACTAACTGCATCCTTCAAGTTTTGATATAGTGCCATGATTGTATATTTAAAATATTTTCTAATTTCCATTAGGATTTCTTCTTTTTCCTATAGGTTATTTGGAATTACGTTGCTTCATTTTCAGAGTTGTGACTAACTCTTTGCTTCTTCAATCACTTATTGATCCTATGTCTTGTCTCAATCCATGGGCTTATGCAGTCCTCTCACCTTGGTCTCCCAAAGTGCTGGGATTATAGGTGTGAGCCACCGTACCTGGCAAAAAACTACTTTTTTTTTTTTTTTTTTTTTGAGTCAAAAACTCACTCTGTCACCTAGGCTAGAGTGCAGGTGGCATGCTCAAGCCACTGCAGCCTCGACCTGCTGGGATCAAGCAATCCTGCCAAAGCCTTCCAAGTAGCTGGAACTACAGGCATGTGACACCATGCCCAGCTAATTGTCTTTTTTTTTATTGTAGAGACGAGGTCTCACCAAGTTGCCCGGCCTGGTTTCAAATCCCTGGGCTCAGGCAATCCTCTCGCCTCGGCCTCCCAAAGTGCTGGGATTACAGACTTGAGCCACCATGCCTAGCAAAAGCTACTTTTTTTGAGCAATTGTGAGGGATTAAACACTGTGGTTTATATACTTGTGTTTAGTTTTAAAATCAACACTATGAGGTATTTGGTATTGTCCCTGCTTTACTGATGAAGAACCTGAGACTTAGAGATGTTAAATAATTTGCACCAGTTCATACAGCTGGGAAATAGTAGAGTTGAGTTGATTTTCATATCCCAGTATGACTTGGAAGCCTTTGTTTCTAACCACAATATTGTAGTAACCCTTGTTACATTAATTCTCTTGGAGAACTGTTTAATATAAATCTTTGTAAATTTGGGATGCAATGTGAACATTATTTTAAATGGCACCAGTATGAATTTTGGCCTTTTCAGTTTATGACTCGAAAGAAAGAATACTAAATGTAGTTGTAACCAACATGAACTCTGCTAAGAATTGCTTTTCTGCGTATATAAATAATGTATATTTAATGTTTTAAAAGATCAAATAATATATACCTGTGTAAGGAAGTAAAAATTCTCTAAATGTCTAACATCCTGAGGTAACCACCCACTGATGTTTTGAAGACTCTTTTTTCATATTTTTCTTAATGTATATTTTACTTGTATTTGCAGTATTGCATAAATGTTATTTTACCTGCTGTTTTAATTTTGAATTGAACTTTATATTTTTGAGCTGAAGTGCAAAAATACTGCTTTATGATGTAAGGAGTTTCTGCTTATTGTTAATTTCATTCTAAATTTTATTAGGTCAAGGTAGGCAGTGAAGTTGCTACAGGAACAGGACCTAACAAAAAGATAGCCAAAAAAAATGCTGCAGAAGCAATGCTGTTACAACTTGGTTTTAAAGCATCCACTAGTCTTCAGGATCAACTTGAGAAGGTAAGGGTTAGATTTGCATGTATATTTCCTTTCTGCCAGAATATCAATGTGGTTAAAAAATTCTGGTCTTCGGGGAGACACCTCTTATCAACAAGGGTGCCTGAACAAAGCATATTTGTATACCTAACCCTTAACTGTACCCCACGATATCATAATAAACAATATTAATTATTATTATTTTTTTTTTTTTTTTGAGTTGGAGTCTCACTCGGTTGCCCAGACTGGAGTGCAGTGGCCGCTCCTGGCCACCGCAGCCTCGACCTGCTGGGCTCTGGCGATCCTTCCGCCTCAGCCTTCCAAGTAGCCGGAATTACAGGCATACGCTTACCATGCCCTGCTGATTTTTTTTTTGTTTGATTTATTGTAGAGATGAGGTCTCGCTGCCCAGGC